ATTGTATAAAGTTATTTTTATTATTTATATATCAAATATTGTTTATACAGATATAAGCATAGGTATTTTTATTTACTTTATTTAATTTTACAAAATATTTATAAAATTTATTTCTACATTATTTGCGCTTATGTCTGTATAAATGTTATTTAAAACCAGCATTGTTCATATAAATTTCAAAATGTGCTTACTTTTTAAACGCAATTACACTATTTATCAAATAATTAAAAATCTTTTATTAACTATATTACAAATTATTTATGATTACAAATCGATACATTATTATTATAAATTTGTTTAGCTTTCGTAAACGTACCTGCTTGTAAATGGTTCAACTCCATGTAATTTTCATAAATTATTATAAATAACAATTTGTTCAATATTCTACATTATCCGAGGACAGGGAAGTTTAACTGCTGGTCACTTCTAAAGCTCGAATAAAACGAAAATCATAACAAGCATTTACTTGTACAAGGACCAACCACCAATAGGCGTTTTTAAACTAAAACATGTAAATTCGAATTGCATTTTGTTTTCGAATACTATTATAATCTATAATTAGATTATGAATATGCAACATTCAGTACAAACGCACAATTTCCATACCACGCTGATGGAAATGACATAATCTTGAATATACTCGACAAAGCACGCATAATAACTATACAATCATAATATAGTTCTGATTGTTGTTTTATGTGGATATGAAAATGAATGAGAACTTTTGGATGTGTCGCATTTTTTTTTTTTTTTATAAATCCAAAACAAACATGTTATTTAAATATATCGACGTTCTGAAAGCGTATTTCTTATCTTACCGGTACAAGTAAGTTTTCTTTAAGAATTCGTTAATTTTATATTGAACCAGCTATAGAATTTATTCTGTATAGTAATATTGTGACGTTTAAAAATAAAATATAATTATGTACCGTACCGCAATACAAAAAATATCGATTATATACGTATCGTGTTTGTGTAAAATGAAAATTATTCTTACTGTGGAATTCTAAGAGACTTGTGACATTTTCAAAATATTTTGTGTAAAAATAACCATAACAACACGCGTTGAAGCACTATTGGGACGTAATATTGTATATATTGCTTTTCAGATAATGAAAAATACGAGTAGTTATAATACTAAAAAATATATTTATACATAGTAAGACGTTCTAAAACACAACGCGGAATCACTTCATACCATCGATCTACTTATATACTCTCGCATTAATACGACAACCGTATCTCAATAAACATTAGTCAATTCTAAAATGTATAATAGCTCTCAGCTACAATTGTTCAATTAAGTTATTCAATAATTCGATCATATTTTGAGAACTCGCCTAGTTGATTATCCACTTTGTCTTTGTTTCACTAATTATTGAATAAACGTCAAAATAAGGTCCGTATCACCAGCACGGCTAACCCAAACCCGAGAAAACCCGATTTTTCTATTCTATGGCCGTGCTGGGGATACGCATCCCCAGCACGGCTATTAACCAATTATTATAAAATTGAAATTTAACTTATACAGTATTTTGTACTTTTTTTTGTATAATTTTGTACACCCACCCAAGCCCAATAATGATACAATCACCTATAAAATACTGTATTTAGTTTATTACATTTTTCTCATAAGGTCAGTGTTACGCACTACGGAGTACCTTTTTTACCATTCTAATCTATTAAGTATTAAGTAACATTATACAATTTATAATTGTTAACTTTTGTTATCTATAAGATAGCAGTGGTACACGTACTTACCTTGTATAGGCACATATTTACAATGGATGTAGTCATGTCTTAGTATTTTGCATGATATTTTATTGACACGTATATGGTACTTGTATTGATGATTTACTTAATTATATTAATAAAGAATTGAAATATTAATTTAAAACTTTTTTTTAATGAATCCATGTTGAAATTAATTAATATAATAAATAGGTAATAAAATTATTTAATTATTTATGATTTTTTTTAAAAAAAAATAGCAGATACGCCTAAAGTAAAGTTTTGAAAGATATGGGAAAAGATATAGGAGTATATAAATGTATTTAAATTTAATTTATTTATTTCGTATCAAAGTAAGGATAAAACAAATTGAATTAGGTAGTAAAATAAGGAAGTATATGTCATAAACAATATCCACAGTTTGGATCACACTGTTTGACTATCAAACACAATATTCATTTTTCATTTTCGGAAATAACCATGTTTAAAATGAACATCTAGTCAAATAATTCAAAATACATGCATAAACCAGAAATTGGGGTTTTTTCTATTTTTAATTATTTTCATTTATATTTAGTCCACCATTTACTATAGAGAGGTATAGTGCGGTGGAAAGTAAAACTCGGGTTATTGATACCAATTATTAAGTTATTATTAACTTATTGTCATATTATTTAAGTAATACGGTATTACTGTACAGCATTGTAGTTATTATAGGTAGTATACACAGTAAAAAATGTTATGACCATAAAAAATCGGATTTTATCGGGTTTGGGTGGGTGTACAAAATTTTACTTTGGTTGTACAAAATTGTACAAAAAAAAGTACATAATACTAAATAAATAAAATTTCAATTTTATAATAATTGGTTGATGGCCGTGCTGGGTATGCGTATCTCCAGCACGGCCATAGAAAAATCAGGTATTCTCGGGTTTGAGTGGGTGTACAAAATAGTACTTTGGTTATACAAAATTATACAAAATACTGTCAAGGTTTGATACTATTATTCAAAAGTGGCCGTGTTCGTGATGCGAACCTGTCAAAATACTGAGAATAAAATTAAAGCTACTGAATTCTAGTCATTTTTCACTAATATATTTATATATATTTACAGTTACAGTGTAATACATATTATTTCCATAAAACCTATAGCTTCTATGCGAATGACATGTTATGAAGGTTAATATAACGGAAGCTAGATTCATTGGTCTGTGTGGAAAATAATGGTACTTTTGTGGAGGACGTGAAAATTAGAATCAACCCCAGTATACGAATGAAGAAGAAGAAAGTGTAGAGAGCATTATGGAAGAAAGAATATGCAGAAGTATCATGGATACGTAGATAATAATTAAAGAAATTATAGAATAAGGGATGAGTAAATAAAGATAACGTACGAGTGATTAGATAAAATTACTACTCGTCAAAAATCGTGCAAAATAAAAGAGGATAGGTTGAGATGATTCTAGGTAAGTTATGAGGAGTAATGAGTGACGTGTTATGAAAATCTATGTCGAAAGATAGAGAGGGAAAAGAAGACTGAAGTAGAGATGGTTTGATGGAATCGAGGACGACATGAGAAATGTAAATGTGTATGAGTAAAAAGTGGAAGAACGGACTAGTGGTGTCCATCTAGATATGGTTGAAAAAGAAATCGAAAAAAAGAAAAATAAATAATGAAATAATGAATTTAATGTAGATATAAAAGTATAGTAAATACATCGCAAACGAGTGACTAAATAAGAATAATTACCTGGGTGCATTAATTCGAAATGTATAATTGTTGAAGAGAAATTAAAAAAATTAATTGACTTCCTGGACGACCAGTTTGAACGATATTTCAAGTGTAATCACTTCAGACGCATATATTCCGCCCACTGTAAGCAACTTAATGGTGCATAAATATAGCGCATCTATAGACGCACATATGCATCCTATAGTTTTAAAAATTAACGACAAAAGTTTTCATTAATGCCATGGACATGTAGTAAATGGTTAAACAATAAAACGACATTGTGTCGCGATAAGACTGGAATTCTACGGGGCGTATGTGAATACGTTTTCAACCGACAAAAATATTTTAATATTATTGGTATTGTTACTATTTTTTTATTTACTATTATTTGTAAGTACTGTTTTGCAGAAGTTTGAAAAAAAAACGTACAGCTTACGTTTATCGTGGAATTATACGGGGTCCGATGCTACGGTGCACTTGCGACTCGTATATACTTGTAGTTTACGTACATTTTCGCGTTTCGTCGTGAAAATCGGAACAAATAAACGGTGTAATAGTGTAGATGATAGTCATTTTTTTTTTTTTTTTTACTGAAACATGAGAAGAAGAGAAATCACTATAGTACACCGGTACGAGTGTTACGAGATCGTACGTCTCCGCTTGTATACTTATGACAACAGTGGCGTACCTGTGAAACATTTTTAGGGTAGGGGCATAAATTAATCGCATCATTTTTTATGGTTATAATATAATCTGAAACTTTATTATAAATTATTAATAAATACTTAAAAAATGAATCGTATAACAAAATCTAAATTTATTTTTTTACTGCCAGAAAATAAATCAATAACTTCGTCAACTTCAACGGTTCTATGTCTATGGATATTAAGCAAAGTTAACCCAACCAAGCGTTTTTCACCCACGTTTGACAAATAAAAAATATATTTGTTTGTACAAAGCAATACAAATTAAAATAAAATATAACCATGCATGATGCTAAAGCATATAACCACATTATAAAATAGTGACTATATGTTACCATCACTCCTAATCCCAATTTGGTCGAATATTGATATTTTATATTACATTAATAAGTGATGTCAAACACGATTGTACTCGGTGGAAATTAAAAATATTTATAATTTACATTATTTAAGCTGAACAATTAATTTGTATTATATTATTTATGGCATCAAAAAACTTCTTGGGGAGGGGGGAATGCCCCCCCATTAACCCCCTTCCCCCAAAGATACGCTACTGTATGACAAAAAATACTCTTAATACGCGTTCGGAGGGAAAACATTACGAAAAACAAAAATATAAAAAAAAAAAAAAAATGATAATAATGATCATAACGGTAAAATAACGAACGGTCGTGGTTCGTACGAGTAGGGAAAGCAAAACTCGCACGCGCACACAAGGGCAGCGGCGCGTTACTTGTAAGCGTGCGTGTGCGTGTGTGTTGCGTGCTGGTGGTACGAGCGCGCGCCGGCTTTCGGACTTTCGGGAATATTGTCGACGACGCGCCGCGGCCCGAGAGGGAGGAGAACGACCGAGAGCGACTGCCACCGCCGCCACACTGTCATTAGACGTTTCGGCGTGCGGCTCATCGCACCAACGTTTACCGCGCGAAACCCGTCCACTGCGAGCACGACCACACGCGCTCTGTTCTGCTGCCGCCCCCGTGCAGATCCTTCGTCGTGTCCGTCAACGCGCCAGGTCGATCGGTTAAAAGGACGAGTTTTCAAGTGCACCACTGGCCTAACCTAACCTGGCCGTACCGCCGAAAACCATGGACTTCGACGGTCCGAACAACGGTAAGACGCTGCTGTTTCACCGCCACTATCTCGTCCAATCGGGACCCCCTCGTACCGTCCGAACAATTTTTCTCTTCGACCCCCCCCCTCCCGTGCAAACCGAAATACCCGGACGACGTCAACGTACAATCTGTTTGTTTTCATTGTTTTAGCCGAACAAATATTTACGTGCATCCTTTCGACGATATCCGATATTGTAAATAGATAAAAGCGGTGACCGACCTGTTTTATGCGAACATTATCAAAAAACAGGACACAATTATCGTCACGATAGTATCACATGGATTCTGATTTCGACAATTTTCATAAAGTCTTCTCCGCCCGTACCACTTGTCGTGAATGCGTTTTAAGTGATCCGGCATCACTGCTACTACTATTGCCCTGTTATTACTCGTAATTCTAAGATAACGGGCTCGTCCGTTTGTTGGGATTTATTTTTCCGTTTTTTCAACATTTATAGGGCCGCGACCGGTGCGAACCCGAGGTCGATCGGAATTAGGTTTTCGTTTCGTAAAGAAAACTGCAGGTACAGTCGAGATTTTTTATGTTGATAGTAACCCGCAATCGGAAACCGAGCAATATAATATCGGCTCGTTGTTACAATCTGATCGGCTGAAAATCGACTTGTTCAATATTAACAGCTCCATCGGATACCGGGTATAATATCGGTCCGTGCCAAATATATTCTCCGTTACGATTTCTCCAACCCATTTACGTTTAGTTCTCCGTGAAAATGATCGGTACGTCTTTCTAATAGTGAAACGCACTGGCCGTCGCAGATCTTCGCTCGTAATTTTTCCAACGGTATAATATATACGTATATAATATGCGTCCACCAAGATTATTTACACTTTTTTGTCACAGTTTTCGTTTTTCAAATTTATCTCGCAACGTTCAGATGGATCCAATTGTGTGACTAGATAGGATAGGGCCCTGGGACAATAAATAAATTAGTTCCCCGACAAATATTATCTTTATATGAAAATGCATAATGCTCATATAATAATGTTCTGTCGAATGTAAATGTATACTATGAAACCATAAATAAATAATAAATATACAAAGTTAAAAGAAAGTCCTGTTTATTATTACGAAAACTACAATTTTCAGATTATATAATCATAGCCATTGATCATTTAATTTAAATTATTATTTTCATTACAATTTATTAATACGTATTTAATAAAATTAATAATATTTTACATACTTTAATATTAGCAAATCGATTTATTTATAATTATAGGTGGATGTATAAATACTTATTAAGTATCATAGTTTCAAAATCGTCCAAGGACCACCCCAGTGCCCCCCAAGGGGGGTACTGCTTTTCTTTGCCCTACGATAGATATGCTACTGGATATCATTGTTCTCGTGCTTCGCGCGTCCATTGAACATCGCCCAGTACACGTATATTTTCATCCTGCTGCTGTAGCGACGCGTATCGGGAAGTGTGTAGGTACTACTATTATAATGATATTAATACCCGAGTAATGACGACGTGATAATAATATACCGTTCAGCGAGACGACACAGTACGTTTGACGATGACTATCATCGGGTAGTCACTCGGATGAAAATTTCTTTCAAAAAGATTTTTCTGTTGTTGTTATATTTTGTGTACATATTAAGCTGCGAATACCTGCGAAAAAAATATCGAGCTTTGCGGTGCACGCGGGCGCACGATATTAAATTCCGATTCCATCAAGAGTTATTTTTTACGCTATCTAAGCAGTTTGTTCGTTTGGTTTTTTCCACAGGTATCATCTAATTCGCGACTCGTCAAAGAACTCCCGGAATGAACGCTTTCCTGTATCTATTCACGCTGTACATAATCGGTAAGTAATCCTGATTCGTTTTACGTTTGTCCGAGGGGGTTCATTCGAAATATATTGGTAAATGTCTATGAAACATCTTATTTTATTCCAGTGCGTTAACGATTACAACGATTCAGATCACGAGTACGTGCAATAACCCCTCGATAATATTTATTTCACTTTTCTAAACTAATAAACGTTCAGAGTATTCTTTTTGTTTGCACCGATTTCAAAAGTGAATCGTAATAACGCACACGTGTATTATAATGTGTACAATATAGGTTTGTCATCGATATAAAACAAACGTATTTATATAGAAATATAATACCGTTTAGTCAGGATAATTTTATTTTTAGTATTCCGTACATATTTTATTTGTCAAATGTTTGTTAATTAAACGCAATAATAGTTTTTAAAATATGTAAATTATTTATTGAAACCATTTGGCGCTTGAAAATTCAATATTGACCGAGTATCCATGTGAAGTTATTATCGCTTAAAGCCGGAAAATGAATGAATAATGACTATCAGAGTAAATAAAGATAAAAAAATATTCGAATATATTCATAATTTTATTGCAAATTTTTATCTCTTAACGTTATTAGTAAATAAACAACGAAATGTGATTAAGACACATAATAAGGAAAGAACTGTTACCAAATGGTTTTAAAAGGAGTATTTAATATTATTTACAACTCTTTCAAATAAAATTTAATTATTATTGTACATTTTACAAAATATAATCTTACAATTATTATTACTATTCCTACCACAGCTTTTATGTACAGATTATAACAATTATGTTATCTAATGATAAAAATATTTTTATCGCAAAGTATTAACAAGTAATAATGAATTCTAGACTATTACTAAATCAACAATAATTATTTGATTAGGTTGTGATTCACTTGTAAGTTATGTTTGTAACTAGGTTTTTTGTAAATCAAAAAAAAAAACGATTGAAATTATAATATCGAAAAATTACAATTTCAAAAACCTTAAACAGAATTTACGGTACAACTCAAATAAAATGAATACGTACAAACCCGTTTTTCATAAACGGAAGAAATCTGACGTCAGCATACTTCAGAATACCTCATTAGAAAATAAAACTGCGTTATATGCTTCGCGTATTTATTTTACCTCGAAACTCTTCAGTTTAATATTAGTTCAACTACTCCAATTATATAGTTTCCCAAACAATGTTCGTGCTAAGGATTTCTGTGTCCTATACGCACGTCTAGAATTAGAGGGGGTACAACGAATCAACAACAAATATATACTAATTTTCTCAGTAAACCAATTAATATACTTTGAAGATTTCAATTTTGTACGAATCATTACTGCACGTACGCATAAGATGCCAAAATGTTCTTGGGAATTTCATTGCGTGTAAATCAAAAGTGAAAAACTCGTGCATTTTAAATTGCTTTTCCGTTGGACTTTTGTGTAATATGTTTGCACGTACTTACGATTTAGGTCCGATTTGTGTTCGTACGACACTCGCATCCGGGTCAATACTATTAACGCTGTTATTTTATAACTACAATTAGTTAAAAAAAAAAATACTGTAATCTACATACAATGCTTAAAAATAAACTATTGGTAGATAAAATCATCGGGGTTAGCAAGCGAATCATATTACTGTAATTTTATCGATTTAAACAGTTTCCCTCACTATTGAAAATAAGATATAACGATAACTTAATTACACATGTAGATTTCATTATCTTCAATTATATATGAGTATCAAATAGTTTAAGAATAAATCAAAACATTTCTATATTCACAACTCTTTTTGAATTGAAAAATAAATTTAGCATTTTAATACACGAGTAAAACTGCACACCTTATTCGTGGTACAATCATAATAATTATTATTCAAATCGTATGATAAAACACATTCGAAATTAAACGTTACATATTATTTGTATACTTTATGTTATTTTTGTTTTATTTATAAAAACCGTTATAAATAATATTACATTTATACAAGCTCGTGTTTTATTATAAAATGATTTTATGTTGTTCAACAATAACCGTCAACGTTTCATTTAGATGTATTCTATAGTCGTTAAAAACAATTTGTGGTGAATTAAACGAAGAATAAAACTATTTAAACGGGATTAACATGTTTTACGACGTGACCAAATGAAAATCGCATGTGCACACGCACGTGTGTATGTATGTATGGGCGATAAAAATGACCGCGTTCTACGGAGAAAAAAGTAGCACTAACCATTTAAAATGGTATTATTTGCGTAAAAAAGGCGTAATTTATTGAAACAAAAAAAAAAAAGAGATATTTGTTTTATGCTATTTTGTTATACTATACATATAATGCATAGTATACATGAGATTCTTTAGGGGCAAACATAAGGAAAAAGGAAAAAAGAGTAAGTTTTCCAGACATTGAATTTGAATAACCGGCCATCTGAGTTATATAAGTTTCGAGGTTGTCACATATAGAGACCGGAGAAAAGAAAACTTGGGTTGCTCCCTCGTGTCACCCAATCTTTGTCGTCCATTTGCTCTTTCCGCCGAGTACCGAAGGTTAAAAACTTTGGCGCTTTGCGCATTCACTACACGTATATTCGATTTTCTATACCGATAGGATGATGATACACACGAAATAAACAAATACAATAATATTGTTCGATTGACAAAATGTATATTCTCGAAACAAATCACTTTTTTTTTTGAGGTATTAGTGGGCTCTAGGCCTATCCCCATTATGCATCCATTATGCTTCCGGTTAGTTGCCCGCGTCTTCCAATCTGTTCCAGCTCCTAGTTCTTCCACCTTACTTTTCATCATCCCATATAATTCTCGGTCTTCCAATGGGTCTTTTCCTGTTGGGTTCTTTGCTAGTACCGTACGGAATAATGGGTTTCGGTATCTCTAAGAATGCCCCAAAAATCACAAAAAAGCGCTTAATTTGTCGTTTGAGGTATGTTGTTTGATTAGTTTTATTAATTTTATAAACTATTTAATTAATTATATACATAAACTCCAGTCAATTCCCGTCACGGATATGTACAAAAAGTATGAAATGCACAGATCCTCTCCATAGGCGTGTGTTCTCAATCAGGTGCAGTATTTAGGAACACTTTCAGCAAAATGTTGTCAATATATAAATTATATAATTGTCAGCACCAAACATTTTAAACGTATAATCTTATTAAGGTTTCTATATAATTTATGTACCTTGTACATTATTATTTCACAAATACGCAGAAAACAAAAAAAATTTTCGTTTGTTTATAAACTTAAAACTATATTTATATACGTCTTTAAAAAAAATCTAGTTTCTCAGAAAAGGCAAATGCAGCCTTTAGCATATGCCTATGGTTCTCCAATTATCCAACTAAGGGATTCCTACGCATGTAATCCGTGCTGGATATCCAACAGACTACATTCGATTTCTTTGACAATTAATTTAACATTGTTTTGCTAAAAAAAATTATTGTTTTTTTTTCTATATACATTCATCAGTAGCAGTGACTTTGATATAATATAACAGTATAAACCGCATAAAATATTTTCTTAATATATTTTTAAGTTCAAATTTTTACCGTACAATTACAATTTCAACCAGAAACTGATATTAATGCAGCATATAATAATAATAATACTAATAATAATAATAATAATAATAATAATAGATTGTGTTATATTCTCTAAAGTCATATTTAGACCCAACAAAATATTTGAGCCAAATTCTTTTCGTTCGGGCGAATATTTTTGAACCATCGAGATTTGGGAATACTTCTCGACACAATCCATTTCGTAAGAATTTTTTTTTTCTAAAATTCTCGCGTCGTTAGCCGATTGAAGCTCGTCCCGAAAATGGTTCATATCGATACCCCACTCGTTGTCGATAACAAACGATGTAATTTAAGTGTGTATAATGGCTGCAAATTCCCATGCGGACGATTTTATCTACTACGAACTTGCGGGTAGTAAGATCGATTAATAAATATATACTGTATTATTATTGTTTGTTTGGTTAATTTTTACCACGGTTTACCGAGCTTTTATTTCCTTTAGGCAATACTACAGTAGCTTAGATAACTGTAATTCATTGTTATATAGAGATCATCGCATTTTTCAATGTAGGAACTTTCGACGAAAACAATAGTCCCCCAAACGGTTCTACACGTGCATCTATTACGTTCAATATATATATATATATATTCTAATTATAATATAGAAGCTGATAAAAATATAATTAGATGGTAGTGTGATATACAAAATATAACCACAGCTTAATATAGTACAATGTATATAGATAATAAGTGCGTATTATCTCCGAAACCGCACTCCCGCATTTCACTCACTTTATATAAATAATAATTTGTTGAGCATATTGAATTACAATAAACATCGATGGATTGTTTGGGTTGGACATTTAAAAGCTGTTGTTCAAAATCCTACAAGAATGTTTAATGACACATTGTATACTTATAAGTGGTTTTTTTTTTTTTATAAATATAAATCGTTACGGTTAATCACACCTTGCATGTTGAATACATAATGTGGACATATATTATTAAACATGATCGGTTAGAGGTAGAACAGACATTTTGTTAACTCAACATAGGTGTATTAATGTACATGTAATTAATGATTAATGTGAATTAACACCGATGTATATTGGTTTGGTATTTCAACACGTTCATACATTTTAGTTTAAAGAAACGTAAAGTTATTTTGAGGGAAATATCGACACCGGAAAAATAGATTTTTTAAATTTGCTTTCAAGCGTCGTTTGAAATCAGACTACGTATTTGTAACAGAATATAACAGCTGATAAGACCAAATAAAATAAACGTTATACATTAGGATGATAGACGACGTAGTTTCTTAAAGTTATGGCGTACAGTGCACTTTTCCTCGTAAATTATTGGATATTATTATTTCGAATTTTGAAATAAAAAAAAAAACCTCAATATTACTTTAAGATCAATATAATAGGTTATATGATTCCCACGTTATAATGTGTTCATGGTGCATTGCAC